GTTAATGTGACTAAAGATTTCGATTTGTCGAGTCCCAACAGTTGGATCAAATGTAACCATGGTCAGATGGGCTTCTACATTGTTCTTTATCCAAATGAAATGTGGCTTAAATTCTCCAACTACTTACAAGAGACTCCATCTAGTGTCAGTATTCAGCTTCTATTCACTTTTTAGATTATTATGTTGGAGTGAAGAAGGAGGAGGTTCTGATAGTGTTTTATGGTATATATGTTAGTAAAGTATGGAAGATGAACTGTGATATATAGTCTCTATTTTCGCAAATGCATGTACATAAAACATTGTAAGCTTAATGGGTATTTAGTTCATGAAACGGGAACATCAATGTTCTTAGTAAGCTGCATTCTGTTCGATTTCCACCCTCCGTCTTAATGTGTCATTACAAAAAAAAACACTTGATTATATTGCAATTGTATATATGAACATGTAATCATTTCACATCTCTTGTTAATATTATGATGTTACATCAAACAAACACTCACACACAATTCTCGGTTTTGGTCAAACTAAATTACCATTACACTTCTGTTTTCCAATGCTGTTCTTAATTTCTGGCTCTGAAACTTGGAACGTAAAATCTGTTAACGATATCTGACAGAACTGGCTCCTGTCCAATGCTGACCGTGCAGGTCTGATCAACGATGTCTTCCTTCTGGCAGAATCAGGGAAGCTCTCCTATGATACAGCTCTGGAGATGTTGAGCTATCTGTCACAAGAGAACGACTATTTGCCTTGGACGACAGCCAACCGAAGAGCCTTTAGTTATATAAGCACGATGCTATCTCAAGATTCTAGCTACATACTTTGGAAGGTGATCTATTCTCATTCTTTAATTTTTTGTGTGGATAATTTAAGAAAGTAATTCTGTATACAAATTTACGAAATAATTGATAGCTAGTTATGGTATCTGCTTTTTTAAAACATACTTTTACATACTTTTTACTTTTTATAGTTTTACATAAATATATTTGATGACAAATGACTTAATTTGTAAATTAAACATTTTAAATGTCGAATTTCTTTATCTTTTTTTTTTCTGCCTTGAAAAATACAAAAATTGTAGAAGTTTCTTGCTGCTAGCATCAAGCCTATTATAGAAAGACTCGGTTTTGAGGATACTGGAACTAACAATGAAAGGTGAGATTAGAAAGGAACACACACACACACACATTTATATATACATATTCTAAAATCCTCTGTATACACTAGAACTAACAAAAAAACATATCTCTTAACAAACGTCACAAAAACAATATTTAATGTCCACGCGATTCATTGAGATATTGAACTTTATTCTTCGTCTGGTTTACTAGCTAGATGAATTAAAACCTTCATCCTATTGTGTAGTTTCCATTCGGAACGTTTTTGTACCTAGGGAGTTTGATCACATGAGGAGGCACAAAACCGCTGTGCACGCCCCTCAGCCCCTGGATGACTAAACACTCATCCTCGAACCAAAATGGACGAGCTATTATTTAATTATAAATCGTAATATACTGTACTATTTGATGTAAGTTGAGTATTTTTGCTTTTATTTACATGTAATATATATTAAAAGAAAGAAAAACGAGTCGGCATAAAACTGCTTATTAATTCCTCTCTAAGACAACTCAGATCTCTACTCCTGGACAAGGGATGTTCTGTAGAGATCAGTTCTATAGTTCGCAATGTCACACTGTTGTTTCGTCATTGGTTGGATCAAAATATTAAGTAAGTATTTAAGAGACAAAACAAAATTCAATATTTACCCGATTAACTTTATTAATTAACGTCATCTCTTGTGAAATCTACTTCAAATCAACGTATCGCAGATTCGTTACAGTTTTTAATCTATGCTCAACACTAAAGCTTTTTATAAATTAACTAGTATGCAAAGACAAGTGTTAGAATAGTTAGATGATTACAAAAAACACGCCATAAATCTCTTGATCTATGTATCTATTGCAGACCCTCGGCCAATATAAAAAGAGTCGTATATAACTATGGAATGAAATATGGAGGCACTGATAGTGATTGGCAGTTGGTTTGGGACAAATACTTGACAGAATCTTCTCCTCAAGAAAAAGAAGCGTTGGCCGTATCACTGAGTCGTGTGCAAAAACCTTATCTAATTTCTAAGTAGGAATCTTCTTTATAAATGTCTGTATGGTTTCTTTACTTTGAAATGATCGCATTAAACTATATCAGTACTAAGGAACTGAGTTTAAAGAAGAAAGATGGAAGCTTGATCTATTTAAAGCCTGATCATTCTCATAACAATCGGAGGAAAGGATGAGCTCCATAGCAGATGATTAGATTAGTGGTTTCATATTTCATTAATTTGAGCAAGTGGGGGGGGGGGGGGACTTCAAGGTGAACCAGCGTGTACTGCTCCTGAGTCAATCAAGATCTATCGTTGTTGATAATGATATTTGAAATTAACTTTAGAGATTGATTATAACATCATTAGGTTGTTGTCTGTTGATTTCATATCTTTATAGATTGCTTGATAATATGAAAACCCAAAACGGCATTAAAACTCAAGACTTCTTCACTCTAGTAACTCAAGTTAGTGCTAACCAAGCAGCCAATCATATCGTCTGGGACTGGGCGAGACAAAACTATCAATTTTTCACAGAAAGGTATTAACCATTCTTGTTTACTTTTGTGTTTGTCTTTCACTATTTTGTTGATTCATTTCAATTGAATGTTATGCAATATATAACAAATCAAAGAAAGCATTATCCCCCTTTTTAAACATATGAAATATTGTTCTAAATTAAGTGAGACCAAATAAAAATGCAATTATTTTGTGAGATTAAAGAAACCATCACCATGCTGCTAACAGGCGCCCAGTGATACTCCATTAAACTACCTTTATGGATAGAATGTTGATATATACATAGAACGCAGTTCAATACACTCTTTCAAACGAATGTCCGTATACATGGAATCTTTAGAGAGGTCAATGTCTTCGACAGAGGTCTGGTTGTAAAGTTCCACTTTCAAGACCTTATGGTCTTTGGGGCAGGTGATGTAAAGGTCAACTGTTTCTGTGACCTACGGTTAACGAGGGTGTCATGTAGCCAGCACAACGACCAACCGCCTTTACTTTCCCCAACTAATGTCAGGTACCTGTTAAAGCTGATTGGACTCAAAAGCTCAGTCAATCTCAGGATTCGAACCCGAGACCCTCGGTTAGGAAACCAAGCGCTTTACCGCTCAGCCACCGCGCCTCCTCATCTGGTTGTGGATGATGTCATTACTGGGCATAGAGTTGTTTATGTGTTATTGTTTTTCGCCCTCTATAGAGACAGTATTTTTTTTTTAATTTATGGGCTTCTAGGATTCATAGCACAGACTAGGTAAAGCTAACTGGGTCTTTCAAACCATTATGAAAAATACTTGGACAATATTAGAAAATAATGTTCCTCCTTACTGCAAGATATTTATATGCATAAAATTAGGAAAAAACATTAATTGCAGATCAAAATAATATTTCAGATTTACAATTAACAACAGAAATTTTGGACGAATGGTGTTCTACATTGTCAGAAACTATGCGACGGAGGTGAAGCTGCAAGAAGTAAGAACTTATTTATCAGTGCTGAAAAAATACTATATTGCTCCTTCAGTCTTGAGAGATAATGGTGTTGGCATAATTTCATAGAAGTTGGTTAGTTTACGGTAACCAGACAAGCCGCGAGTTGGTGCATTTGAAGGTTTATGTCCTAGGTTATATTTTTTTTATTGTCTACCCATTTGTTTCTTCTAGCTGAGCTTATAGCTTGTCTACCACTTTGTTTCTTCTAGCTGAGCTTAAAGCTTGTCTACCACTTTGTTTCTTCTAGCTGAGCTTATAGCGTGTCTACCACTTTGTTTCTTCTAGCTGAGCTTATAGCGTGTCTACCACTTTGTTTCTTCTGGCTGAGCTTATAGCATGTCTACCACTTTGTTTCTTTTGGCTGAGCTTATAGCGTGTCTACCACTTTGTTTCTTCTGGCTGAGCTTATACGTGTCTACCACTTTGCTTCTTCTGGCTGAGCTTTTAGCGTGTCTACCACTTTGTTTCTTCTAGCTGAGCTTATAGCGTGTCTACCACTTTGTTTCTTCTAGCAGAGCTTATAGCTTGTCTATCCATTTGTTTCTTCTAGCAGAGCTTATAGCTTGTCTATCCATTTGTTTCTTCTAGCAGAGCTTATAGCTTGTCTATCCATTTGTTTCTTCTAGTAGAGCTTATAGCTTGTCTACCACTTTGTTTCTTCTAGCAGAGCTTATAGCTTGTCTATCCATTTGTTTCTTCTAGCAGAGCTTATATCTTGTCCACCACTTTGTTTCTTCTAGCAGAGCTTATAGTTGATTTATAATGTTCAATGTCGTGATAATGGAAGTTCTGTATTTGAATGCAAACTCTTTTCAACAGTCTTTTCTACAATGGCCAATTTCGCTAACAAAAATAATTGGTAAAAATATTTCTAATCGCACAAATTACTTTTTGTTAATATAGATCTGTGTTTCCAAAACTTTTTCCTTAACTGGAATACTTTGCAAATTCTTAGTATTTAGCGGAACAATTTTTAATTTTTTTTAAAGAGATTAAATCACGTGGTGGTCTACTATTTCATTATTCTAGTAGTTTGTGGAACACCTATTTAGGACTCGCGGAACACTTTAAGGGTCCTACAGCACACAGTTTGGGAAACACTGGTCTAGATCTATTACAAATTTAATTATATGACTGATCCAAAACTCATTGATACAATTACGCTTAATAATCTTTTTTAAGAAAAGCATTTTTGTTTCGTGTTGTATCTCAGGTGAAAGATTTGTTTAGCCGATTCCCCGAAGCTGGGGCTGGAGAAAGATTCCGCAGAATGGCCATCGAGACCATTGAGAAAAATATTTCTTGGATGAAAGTGTACAAAGCAGTCATTGCGAATTGGTTGCAGACCCACGTAGCAAAGTAAAAGTTGTTTTCTTTTTTTTGTATTATTTGTTGCTTCCCCCCCCCCCCCCCCTCTGATCTGTTGAGCCAAGAACAAAGATTGATGTACACTAGTAGACCACAAGGTCTGAGAGGGGAACTAGTTACTTTACAACTAATAGATCATATGTTTTAGTAGTTTACGACCAATTGATAGTGGATCTACATTTAATGACGTCTTTGAGAGCCAATGTTGCATTGAACTAATCGTACTGGATGAAAAAAGAAAGAAATTAAAAATGGATATAATAGTCTGGGGTGTAAGGTTCAATGGATTTGTATGAGTATAGAAATAAAAATTGCTGTTTCGACCATTATTGATGTATATTCATGACCATGTAAATTGGCTGTTAAATGTTTGTCTATTATAGTGGTATCTGAAATACTATAGTGTCAAAAATAATCATTGCACATGGAATAAGAAAGGGACTAATTCAACTGACAACTACAATTTGTTGCCCTTGTTCGGTGTCAAACAGAATGATTAAAAATAATTAATTAACTAATTGGTTAATATTTTTTGTTGATTCTTGTTTTTTTTTTACAAGAAATAATTGGGCAAGCTTTCAACTTGATGCGCTGTTGGGTGTGGGAGAAAATAACGTGTACACAAGTTGAATCAGTCAGACAGACAAGAAGACAGACCGAGTTGATAGAAACTTTGTAATAATTAACGCATGACGCGTAGGACGTAATCATCTACTTTTTTTTTTTTTTTTGAAGTAACGCTTGCTATATTTTTTTTAAAAAAAGGTAAGTACAACAGAGTTTTGAAAATTCTTATGGGCAATGAGCAATACAGCAGGAATGGCGTTGTTTTGTTGTTGTCAAGTGGTGTAGTTGTTTGTGTATGTTTCACGAAGGAGGAGAAAAGCGGAGTGGGTTTCAATTGCTTTTCTTTTGAAATTGTAAAAAAAAAAGGGGGGGGGGGATTGCTTTGATTGTTCTCTTTGTTCACTCCTTGCCCGATTTATTGCTTAACGAAAAAACTAATAAGAATAAATTTAAGGAGACTAATGCTGGCCTGCACAGATTGACTAAACCATACATAACAATAAAATGTCTGAACAATAAGAAACAAACATTTTTGACAAGAAAATTGTCTTCGTTTGACTTGACACTTTCTCTCTTATTTTACGAACTGAACCACTGTATGTTTAAAGAGGGAGCCAGGGTGCACCAGCCGAACCCACAGGAGCAGCGCTGGGTAATGGAGAATCGAGTAGGTTATCTTAATTGAACCAGTTGTTTTAAATGTTTAAACAAGCAAAATGTAAAAATGCTAAAAAAACCCCAACAAATATGGCGTCTATTGAGTGCTGTGAGAAAATCGTTTCATCACAGACAAAAATGTTGGCGCGTGATTTCTTTTATTTCACATCTAATACAACATGAAACTATTACTTCTTAAAATATCATATCTGAAGTAGTTGACCTTAGAACATGTTGATCAATACACATCTCAATGTGGCTCATATTTGACTTTGACTGATCCCATTTTCCAGCCAGTGAACTATATCTGGACGGAAATGTTTCATCCAATAAATATTTCGGTTTATATTTTCTATTGCCAGTTTTCTAGAACGCTCTCCGGAACCTGCCTCAGGGTACAAAGTGAAAAATCTTTGAACCTTTGGAAATAATAAACAGAAAAAAAAATGTTTTTTTACTTTCCATCAGTGCAATGTGTATCTGAAACTACAATATTATTTCAACTAGATTTACTTAAAAATGGATGAGTGAACATGTATCATATACTAACAGGATAAGACCCGCGGACCCTAGTTTTGGTATTACTGATCTACTGATTTTGCCACGAAAATAAAATGAGTATGAAAATGGGTTTACCCGTTCAGCCGACATACTTACATTGTATCCAATCAAAATTTCTGTGAAACGGGTTGAAAAGTTTCATTATTTAACAGATATAAAATTAGATACTTTTTGTTTATTTTTAGGGCCCTTCGGTTGTGTGAGGAACATTAAACATACACTACAGTTAGGGCCGCCTCGAGGGTTGTGGCCGCCTGCGTGCGAAATAAACAAAATGCCGCCCCCTCCTTTTTTTTTCCTTTAGAAAAAAAAATTCCATTAAGACAGCTGGACACTATTCTAAAAGTGCCCTTTGATTTAAATCCATTTTTTTGTAAACCATTCCATTTTTTTCCTTTCATATTCGCACCGCTGTTGCATCCCTCAAGTACAACTATGAATCATGCACAAGGAACAATTTCGGATACACATGCCTACACAAATCTAACATCTTGGTTCTTTGTGATTAACATTAAAAACTGATCTCGTTCTGACTACTCGCTTATGCTCCTGTATTTGCAACGATTATAATTGATGAGCTGCGGCGGGTATATCACAATGAACAGCGGAAATGATCATGATCTATATACAATTTCTCGACAACTTTGCTCAACAGTGTTATATGGTCTGGACGTGGATGTGTTAACTTGTTTGTTTTTCTACGTTAAAGAACAATCCACTTGGTGGTTATGCAGTGACGATGATGAAATTAGTGTACCAAATGTAAATGTGAGACGATCTTAAGACATGAAATAGTATTGATTTTATTTTTGTTGTGAGCTAGATTTTGTTTAAACATCAGTTTATTTCATTACTATTAGATCTATATTTCATTTCAAGTTAAATCGTGAATAATAACAATTATATTGAGTTTTTGTTCACAAATAATTTGTTCAAGTTGTTTAAAGTTTATTTATTAAAAATATAAAACGCCAACAACGGTTTAGTTGTACTAACTGTCTTGGGCTTCAAGTCAACAACCAACCAACAACGGAGGTTGGGGGGGGGGGGCGTGGAAAAAATGTTCAGACTCCTTGCCGACCTGAGCGGAAACCTGCCGTATCTTCAATTCTACCTCCAGGAAGAACTTTTACAACGCTAAAAATTATAGTGAGCTTTTATGACGTTAATTTGGATTCTATACACAGTGTTCAATTAATATAGGCTAAAAATAAAACCTAAAAATTGTGATTAAGTTTCTTTTCTTTTTTATTACATTCTAAATTTTAAAAAAGATTAAAAAAAAAAACTCACGGACCTCACTGTGTAAGCTTACATTGCTCCTCTGGGCTCCAGCTTCTAAAAGGGGCTCGAACGTAAACGTTGTTATCTAGGGAGTCGTTACCCAGGAGTGTGAGAAACACTGGCTTACTTTGTTTGATTTCAAGACATTGTATAAGTGACTTGTACTTGGGATTATTTACTTTGTTATAAACTCAAGAAAAATATTCAGCGCTAAATTGCTTCATTTGTTGGATAAAATTGTAGGCAACTCTGAATCTGTGTATGTCAGATGATTGTGGACACAATGCACATCTCTTCAAAATACAGTCTTGATATTTATTATGAAAGTGTACGGAACGTTGAAATAGTTCTATTGTCATTAGCTTTTGTACTACGAGCTTTTTTATCGAATTATTCCTCAACAAAAATTATATAAAAAGTTAATATATCCACATCCAGTCCATGTAACACTGTTGAGCTGTCAAAGTTATCGAGAAATTGTTTATAGATCATGATCATTTACACTATTCATTGTAATGTACATGCTGCAGCTCATCAAGTATAATCGTTGCAAATACAGGAGTATAAATGAGTAGTTTGGATGAGATTAAGCATCAAGATATCAGAAGGCTGAAAGCACGTTTATCCGAAATAGTTCCTGGTACATGGTTTGTAGTTGTACTTGAGGGATACAACAATAGTGCGAATATGAAAGGGAAAAAATGGAATGGCATACAAAAATGGCTTGAAATCAAAGGGCACTTTTGGAACAATGTCCAGCTCAGTCTTAATGGAATTTTTTTTTTTCTAGAAAAAAAAGGGGGGCGGCATTTTTAATTTCGCACGCAGGCGGCCACAACCCTCGCGGCAGCCCTGGGTGTCCCTGCCATCAACCATTTTGTTGTGGAACCTACCTCGCTTAGTTGAAAGTCTCTGTTGTAGTTCCTGACCACAAAGTACACCATTTGACCAAAGTCACGATCTACCAGAGTAAATCTGTTCAATAAATAATTCAAGTGTTCTATTGAAGGTAATTAGGAAACAAGAAACAGTTATGAGAACTCTTTTGTTCCAGACATTACATAATGATATTATAATTATATAATGACAGTAAAAGAATTAATCCTATTCACATGTACCCTAGTGTCTGTTTCCGACTCCTTAAAAAAACAAAGAATCGGCTATTAAAAATGTATAATAATGTCCAACAATCAAAGTGTATTCCACAAGAGAATCGATTGTGATTTCATTTCTATATACAAATGAATGTATTCAATTAAAGTTTTTACAAAAAAAGTAATTCGAAGCCTTATTACATTGAAACGAAATCTTCACTACACATAAGTTTTACTATTTTTTTATAAGGGATGTGAAATTTCTGACCTGTCTCTAAGAAACTGATAATGTTCTTGAACCCAGTTCCACAACAGAGATGTGGCTGCGCTGTTGATTGCCAAATTTTGGATGACTCCAAAGAAATCTTGCCTTTTGATGTATTTTTCTTGTAATGCCAAGTCGAGAATTCTTTAAAGTTACAAAGTTATTATATTAGGCTTGACCTAGACAATCTTTGACTGAAATTAATTTAGTTTATATATTTTCTTTCATTGAAAAAATTTAACACTTTGTAATTTTTGGCAATTAATTAACACTCTGGTTTTGGATTGCGATAAGCAACACATTATCGGTGTTGAATTCTAAGATATTTGCATGGTGTTACCGTGTTCAGCGGCATGTAAGGCGTGGCGTCTAAACACAGTGACATAACCAGCTGCCACCTGACCTGACAAAGTATATCATACATTTGTTCATGTCATCCAATGAATGTTCCTGTTCAGTGCTCCAACCATGTGTTCATTAGGTTGAATAGATTTTGTATTCAGATAAAATTACTGACAAAATAAATAGCCCTTGCTCCAGTCACTTCCAAGTGTATACACTCTACAAAGCCTTTTCTAAAACATACGATGCACAAATAGATCTAGATATGTATGTGTTACAGAGATGTGTTGCTCCCGTAAAAATTGTTCTGTAAAATATGTTGCTCGATCGTGTGTTAACTTACTTGTCTATAAAATATGACCTCTACTATGTATTCACTTACTTGTCTATAAAATATGACCTCTACTATGTATTCACTTACGTGTCTATAAAATATGACCTCTACTATGTATTCACTTACTTGTCTATAAAATATGACCTCTACTATGTATTCACTTACGTGTCTATAAAATATGACCTCTACTATGTATTCACTTACTTGTCTATAAAATATGACCTCTACCATGTATTCACTTACGTATCTATAAAAAATGACCTCTACTATGTATTCACTTACTTGTCTATAAAAAATGACCTCTACTATGTATTCACTTACTTGTCTATAAAATATGGCTCTCTAACATGTGTCAGACTTTTTAAAAGCAAATCTCTTTCTTGAGGTGAAGTCTCAGTTAGGTATTTGTTCCAT